GACTTGTTGGTATAATCAGAATGGAGAGCACATCCTTGCTGCAAGTAGCTGAGGCTGATGATGCAGGAGTCTGGACCAGAGTTGCCAGTTCTTCCTGTTTTTCAAGAGAGGTCAGGGATCTGTACTTGCATGGACATTTCCAAACAACAGCAACAGCCCACATTGAACCCTAAGCCCTCAGGTGTTTGAAATCTGCTGTTTAGCGGGTAGAGACTAAAGTTCTATTTGTGAAGTCTTTGTAAGGTGCCTCATGCACCTGTCTCTCATCTGCAATGAATCTTCCCTTCCCTCACTAAAAAGCGTCCTGGGATCCCCCGAATGAAACCTTGGTTGTTTTTTTCTTGGATTTATTCCTTTTTTTTTTTTTTAAGATTTATTTATTTATTTATACAAGCACTGGGTACAGTCAGAAGCGCAGGAGGGTGAGAGAATTCACCAGAGCCAGACCAGAGAGCAGAACAGGCAGAAGGACCGAAGTACACTGCGGAGGGGAGCAGCGGGTGGCAGGAGAGGTCTGCGCGCCATGTGGGACCCTCCTCTGGTGGCCGGGGAGCAGCTGGGAATCGAACCGGCGCCGTAGAGGCTGCGGGCAGCTTCGCAACCCAGCGCTCAACCGCTGTGCCACCAGGGAGGCCCTGGATTTATTCTTAATCAGACTCTTTGAAATCTTAACCAAAAAGCCCCAAATAAGTGTAAGTATTTAACTCACAGAGTACCATGTGGAATTGAATTCAAAGTATTAGAGACAACATAAATCCCCTACAGGCAGCTAAAGCTGTTGTGCACATTTGCACTTATATGGAAATGTGTATATGTGCACATATGTGTGTATATGCGTGTGTGTCTGCATGAATGTGCATTATGTGTATGTGTTTGTCTATATGTCCATATGTGAATATGTCTGTGTATACATATTTTTACCCTTAGGTAACTGATATTTGTTTTATTTATTATCAGTTTGTTTTATTTCTTATCAGTTTCAGTGTTGTTGTTTTTTTTTTTAATGAAATAGCCATGGGACAGAAATGCATCCCTTGCCCAGAACTCTTTTGTTTTGAATATGGGGAAGGAAATGGGAGAACATTTCAGGCTTTGATCCCTGGAGCAGATCACTTTGACTTACAATGAGGCCACAGAGAGGACATGGGATGGAACAAATGCTGGGAAACAACACTGGCCAAGTCAGGTGATGATTAGATCCCTCTGGCTTGACTTATATTAGTAATAAGGAAAATAAAGACAAAGTTGTGATCAAAAGTCAAACCAATTTGATTTTTTAAAAAGATTTTTTATGCATACAAGAACTGGGGTACAGGCCAGAGGTGTGGTGGAGGGTGAGAGGATTCCTCAGAGACAGAGTGGGGAACAGAACAGGCAGACTGACTGAACTACATTGCTGAGGGGAGCAGCGGGTGAGTCAGGAGAGGTCTGCTGCGCCATGTGGGGAGCTCCCTGGCCAGGGATCGAACTTGCCCTGCAGAGGCTGCGGGTAGCTTCACATGCTGCGTCTTAACCCGTTGCACCATCACGGAGGCCCCCAATTGGATTTTTAAATTTTCATTTGTAAAGTCGAGATGGCAATAACACCTACAGGATTTTTGTGAGCACTGATATGTTTAACATCTACAGACCACCCAGAAGAATGTCAGAGCAGAATAGAACGGGAGAGGCAGTGTTATTGCTTTTACTTTATCCTCTCATTTATACTTTGCAACCTTTCTGCTCCAGTGTAGCATGGGGCCAGAAGTGTCCTCTGGGTGCCTGTTTGAAACAGAGAAACTTGGAAGCTCTGCAGACCCAATGGCTTAGTTTGTCTGGGGTGCTAGAACAAATAATCGCAGACTGGATTTCTCACAGTTCTGGAGACTGGAAGTCTGAGGTCAGGCTGCAAGCATGGCTGGGTTCTAGAAAGGATCCTCTCCCTAGTTTATGGAAGGCTGCCTTGTTGCTGTGTCCTCACATGATGCAAAGAGAGCTGATTCTCTGTCCTCTTTCTGGAAGGGTACTAATCCCATTCATAATGGCTTCACTCTCATGACTTACTCATCATCCAAAGGACCTGTCTCCAAATGGGGTACAACATGAGTTTTGGGGGTATGCAAACATTCCGTTCACAATACTTATCTGAATCAAAACCCACTTTTTAAAGAGATCACAGGCAACTCATATGCTCTGCCATGGTGGAGAAAACATGGCCTTGTAAAATGTACTTTATCCTTTGAACTTTTCACATTTTAAATATCCTTCAGTAGTGTTCTGAAACTTGAATTCTTTTGTACCAGCTATACAATATTTACTATAACTGTGTTTCATCTGCTCTATTACGTCTTTAATCGTGTTTTGAACATTCTTAATTAAAAAATATTTTGGTCGGGCCTCCCTGGTGGCGCAGCGGTTGAGTGCTGGGTTGCGAAGCTGCCCGCGGCCTCTGCGGCGCCGGTTCGATCCCCGGCTGCTCCCCTGCCACCGGAGGAGGGTCCTGCATGGCGTGCAGACCTCTCCTGCCGCCCGCTGCTCCCCTCAGCAGTGTCCTTCGGTCCTTCTGCCTGCTCTGCTCCCTGCTCTGCCTCTGGTGAATTCTCTCACCCTCCCGTGCTTCTGACTGGACCCAGTGCTTGTACAAATAAATAAATAAATAAATAAATAAATAAATAAATAAACAAACAAACAAACAAACAAACAAATAAATAAATAAATAAAAAATCTTTTAAAAAAATATTTTGGTCTGCTCCTACACAACAATATAGTGTTTAATATTCTAGCTACATTTATTTCTAATATACATTGAAACAGATGATCTGCCTTTCGAGCATGACTGAAGGCATCTTGGGTGCCCTGTGCCACACATACCAACTTCAGGCAACACTCTCCCCAGGGGACTCACTATTTATAAGAAGGTTGTTCTACATGATATAATAGAGTGAAGCTTCTTTTTTCCTGATCTGAACACCCCTAGGTTTTTCCATTTTGTCATTTCCAACTGAGGCTGCATGGTGTGACAGAGACGATTTTACTAGTCTGATAGATCACAACTTCTCTGCTCTGGATCTGGTGCCATCTTCATTAATGTCAATCAACAATCAACAGTACTTCAGCAGACATTGCCCGCTAGACCCTGTGCTTGGCGTGGAAGACAGGAAGACTAACTCTCCCTTAGGATCTCGCTGTCTGGTCAATTGTGAGAAGTGCGGTAGAGTGTGTCAAGCGTGATGATGGGGCACAGGACAGAGCATCTTTCCCACCATGAGGTTCAAGCAAGGCTTCCCACAAGAGGCAGAGCCTGAGCTCTGACCCAAAGGATTGGCAAGGGAAGAGGGTGGGCATGCCAGAGAAGGGGCTGCACCATGAACAAAGCTATAGCCAGAGGGATAATAAGGCAAGACTCCCCCAGTGTCATGTGAAATAAGGAGGACACTTACCTTGTTAGATCCCTTAGAACAAAAACACGAGATATATGTCTGTCTGTGAGAATCATGTGCCTACATATTCAGAGATGTATAAGAGAGAGAGGCAGTGCCAGGTAAGAACTACCATTCCATTCTCAGTTCTAAAAGAGAATTAAAACATTTGTGCATAATTTGCACACAAGTATTCATTGCATCATTATTCAATGATGAATAATGTAGAGCTAAAGTAGAAACAACTCAAATGCCTCTTCATCTGTCAATAGGATAAATAAAATGTATCTCTATATAGGAGGCAGTATTATTTGCAATAAAAGAAATGAAGTATTGGACATGCTACAATATGTATGAACCTTTATGTATTATGCTAAGTGAAACAAAAAGGTCACATATTGTAAGATTTCATTTATAGGAAATATCCAGAATATTAACTATTTTATATATTTAATAGTTTCTTTCTGCTCTATAAGGGCAAAAGTAGACCAGTGGCTGCTTGGGACTAGTGGTAGGGAAGGGGTAGCAAGTGATTGTTAGTGGGTGCTGAATTTTTTTGGGGGGAAATGAAATGTTCTAAAATTGATTGTAATAACGGTCTCCCTGATGGTGCAAGGGGTTAAGATGCAGCCCTATGAAGCTATCAGTAGTCACTGCAGCACGAATTCGATCCCCAGCCAGGGAGGTGACCCACATGATGCAGCAGATCTCTCCTGACTCGCCCGCTGCTTCCCCTCAGCAGTGTATTTCAGTCAACCCACCTGTTCTGTTCCCCACTCTGTCTCTGGTGAATCCTCTTACACCCCCAGCCCCTGCACCTCTGGCCTGTACCCCTTTTCTTGTATGCATAAATAAATCTTTAAAAATAAATAAATACAATTGATTGTGATAGTTGTATAACTCTGAATATACTGAAAATCATTGAATTGTACACTAAATATTTGAATTACATGGCATGTGAATTATATCTTAGCAAAGCTATTTTTATGTTTATTTATTAAAGATTTATTTATTATGCATACAAGAACTGGGGTACAGGCCAGAGGTGTGGGGGTGAGAGGATTCACCAGAGACAGAGTGGGGAACAGAACAGGCAGACTGACTGAAATACACTGCTGAGGGGAGCAGTGGGCGAGTCAGGAGAGGTCTGCTGTGCCATGTGGGTAGCTCCCTGGCCAGGGATCAAACTCATGCTTCAGTGGCTGCAGATAGTTTCATAGGTTGTGTCTTAATCCCTTGAGGCACCAGGGAGGCCCAGCAAAGCTATTTTTAAAGTAATAGTTAACACTCTCATAACATGCCATAGGCACAGTATTAAGTGTTGCATATGTATATTATATGGTTATTTAATTCTTGCAATGTCCAATGAGGTGGGCACCATGACAGTCCCCCACGGAAGACTGCCCAGAGTCACACAGCTAGTAAGTAGGAGGTCTCTGATGTACACACACAACTTCTGCTCCATGGGCACCAATGACAGCTTCCATTTTAGAATCAGATAAACCTAGGTTCTGATCTTGTCCCTGATGCTTACCCAATGATCCTGGGCAAGTGACTGAATTCAGTCTTTTCATGTTAAGTGGAGATAATAATAGTGCTTACCTCATACGCGGGGACTCTGTCGTCAGCCACTGTTAACTCTGAGGTCCTTTTTATGTGGTCTGTCACCTGGCTTAAGAACTGAAAAGGGTCACACAGATCTAAGCAGGAGGCTTGAAGAGTCATCTTATTGTTTCTGCAAGGCCAGAATTCTGTTTTCCACATAGAACTGGCTTGGTACTGTGTGGTGCCTTAAGTGTGGCTTTCTTTCCCAGGGTTGTGCCTAGAAGCAGGTGGGGTAGTGGGTTAAAAAAAGGAAGTCAGGCTAGGAGGAGAAACAGCTTGGCAAACCTGTGGCTAGGCATTCTGCTTTTGTATAACATAACAAAATTAAAGGTTTAATAGAGAATAAAAATATTTGTCATGTGCACTAAGCCTTTGAAGTGTTAAGGATTTGCTGTTTATTGCATGAAAATAAGCAGAAGCGTGGGAAGAGGAAAGGAATGTGTCACTTCCCCAGCACTGGTCTGCAAGGGCAGAGTGACCTTACACAAGAAGAAAAGTGCCCATAATTTCCAAACTAATCTAATTTTAAATTTTTAGATTTTTTATTTCATCTTGTAGAGACATATTTATTCTTGGAAAGGAAAAAGCCCAACAACATTAGTGATAAATGAAGTTATATAAGTTTGCTGGCAGACTCACACTGCAGCAGAGCCCCAGAGCTCATTTGCAAGGCAGGGAAGCAAATCAAAGTCCAGTGCTGCTCCCTCCACAGTGTTTCTTTGAGCACAGTTTGTAACCAGATTTTTTTAAATTTTGGGGGTAGCACAGTTTGCTCTGGCGTGATTCAGTCTCTTCTTTCATCTGCTCTAACTTCCCTTCCAACACTCAAGGAGTACACTGCCCCAGATTCCTACACTGTGGGAAACAGTTCACTCCCCCTCCAGCCCATCTGTAGATTCCACCTTTTCCTTCCCAGATTCAGTCTATGGGTACATTTGTCAGAGTCCCTCCAAAATATATGTTGAAGCTTTTTATTTGTCTCTAAGTCCTATGCCACTCTAAGTTGAGCTACCACCCACTTCTGCAGGACTGGTAGAGTCTTCTAAATACTCCCTCTGCCTCTCCTGTGCCCCCTACAGTCAGCCCTCCCTGGAGCAACCAGAGGAATTTTTTAATCCTTCACCTTTACTATTTGTATCTTTCAATCCTAGCATCTTTAATAGTAATCAGGTCAATCTCATGCATAAAACTTATCAATATCCAAAATCCAGACAGACAAAGAATATGAAAACATGCTCAAGATCGTTAATCATTAAAGAAAGTAAAATTAAAGCTACGTTAAGATACCACTACTACTACACACCTGCCAGGCTAAATTTTCAGAAGTTAAAAAGATTACAATACCAAGTATTGCTGAGGACACAGAGGAAGTAGAACTCTCATATGTTTACTCTGTGACCTAGGTATCTGCCTGGGATAAATGAGCCCAGGTCCACTAAATGATGTTCCAAGTGTTCATGCCAGCTTTACCTAAAATAGACAAAAACTGGCAACAACCTAAATGTACATCAACATTGTACTAGATAAATGGAGATGTATTCATATAACAAAATACAACAAGCAAAAAAAAAGTGAATTATTGGCACATATAAGCTCAAGGATGAATCTCTCTTAAGCAAATAATGATGGGTATAAGTTTGTATTTTTTTTTAAAGATTTATTTGTGTATCTAAGAACTGGGGTACAGGCCAGAGGTGTGAGAAGTCTGCTGCACCATGTGGGTTCTCTATCTCATTGGCCAGGAATCGAAATCATGTTGCAGTGGCTGGTGATAGCTTGATAGCGCTGTGTCTTTAACCCCTGCACCAGGGAGGTCCAAAAGTTTGTATTGTTTAATTCAATTTGCAAGAACTTTAAGAATAAACAAAGGTAACTTGCTGTGACAGAAGGTCAACCAAGGGTTACTGGGACTTCACCTTTGCTGGGGACTCAGGGTAAGGGATGATCCAATTGAAAAGTGGCCTGAAGGAACCTTTTGGTGTCTCTCTCTTGAACTGGATGGTTGTTTCATGAATTGTGTGTGTGCCAGTGGTCATCAAATTGTATATTCTGTGTGCACTTTACAAAGCATATGCCACTTCACAAGAAAAGAGTTAGAAGGGGCTTCCTGGTGGTGCAAGGGGTTAAGCGTCAGCCTATGAAGCTACCCGCAGCCACTGCAGCACAAGTTCGATCCCAGGCAGGGAGGTGACCCACATGGTAGAGCAGACCTCTCCTGTCTGGCCCACTGCTCTCCTCAGCAGTATATTTCAGTCAACCTACCTGTTTCGTTCCCCACTCTGACTCTGGTGAATGTGTCTAACTCTCACACATACACAAACCCCATGCCTGCACCTCCGGCCTGTACCCCAGTCCTTGTATACATAAATAAATAAATCTTTTTTTAAAAAAGAGAAGAGAGCAAGGACAAATCTCAGGATCTAGGCTCAGATTTCACCATGGCTTCCCTAATTTCCATCACCCTGCTGGCCACTATACTTAATAATCAAGTTGCTTAGCAATTTGTGTATCTTTATTTTAGTAAATATTTCCATCTTTCTCCTCCTTCTTTGTTCATTTTTGGTTATTGTCCATTGAATGAAATTTTTTTATTTATTTCCCTACTAAGTATTTCCAATATATTAAACATTGATAGTTAGGCTCCAAGCAGGAGAAAGTGAAAGGGAGATAGTGGCATAGTGCTTGCCAGCAGGAAGTACTAAGAAAAAAAGGCAAAGAGGCAAGAAAGCACACAGCATGTTTGAGGATTCGAAAATGATTCAGTTTGGCTCAAGTCAAAGAACAGTGTGACTGGAATTAACTATAAAATAGTCTGTCTAGTACTGTACTAATATTAAGGTAGCTTAACATAAAAAAAAAGTGAATTTGTTCTATATTTATTGCTAAAAAATGATCACAAAGTTGACATAGGAAAAAAAAATCACAGGGCAGTCACATGAAAATTCCAACATGCTGTTCTTAGAGCTACAAATGACAAGTGTCAGGAGCAATTACTATATCTGGAATGATCTTAATCTGCATTGTAAAGACAATATGAGAGAAACTATAGAAAAAATGGAATTCACTAAACGAAGATTTGAGATGAAGGGTGGGTTGACTAATTGGAAAGACTGAATTTTGTGCAATTGTCAATTCTTATAGATTTGGAGCTATCTATGTGTGTATGGAAAAAGTAGGAAGGATATCGGGATGTTTCTTCCCTAATCCTCTAGTTTACATGAAGTTGTGAAACCTGGAAAGCACTATAGGCATCTGGTGATCAGGAGGTTGCGGCAGAGCCAAGTCTTCAGAGGGAAACAAGCCAGAATCATCACCATGTTTGTTCCCACTCTCCTCACCCCCCAGCCCTCAGCTCCTGTCCTCTGTGCAGCTCTGTCTTATGGGGGTTTGTACGTTATCATGTTATTTAGTCCCATTGAGCTGAGGTCTCCATTGTTTGCCAATAAAAGCCTGTAAGTGAGCAAATGGGTGGAAGAACTGAGATTTGAACCCATGCTGCACACAATTCTGAGAATGTGACCTAGTAATTCATGTGGAAAAAAGCTTCAGTTTCATTAATAAGCAAAAAAAAAAAAAAAAAAAAAAAAAACCAAGGAAACTTAAGCAAGATTGAGATTGTTTTTTAAAATGATTATAAGAGCAAAGATTTTTTTTTTTGAAGATTTATTTATTTATGCATACAAGAACTGAGAGGTGCAGGGGGTGAGAGGATTCACCAGAGACAGAGTGGGGAACAGAACAGGCAGACTGACTGAAATATACTGCTGAGGGGAGCAGTGGGCAAGTCAGGAGAGGTCTGCTGTGCCATGTGGGTAGCTCCCTGGCTGGGGATCAAACTCGTGCTGCAGTGGCTGTGGGCAGCTTCATAGGTTGCGTCTTATGCCTTGTGCCACCAGGGAGGCCTGCAAAGATTTTTTTTTAATTTTGCTGGTATCTGAGAACATATCAGCACTTACGAAGTGGCGACAATAGCAATTATTTATTGAGTACTCACTAAATGGCAGTTCTGTGCAGAGCAAGAAAATGGATTTAACACTTAAAAGAAGCAGGGAAATAGGTATTATTACCTTCAGTTTAAAGATAAGGTTGAGGGGCCTCCCTGGTGGCGCAAGGGGTTAAGATGCAACCTATGAAGCTATCCACAGCCTCTGCAGCATGAGTTCGATGCCTGGGCAGGGAGCTACCCACATTGTGCAGCAGACGTCTCCTGACTCTCTCTCTATTCCCCTCAGCAGTGTATTTCTGTCAATCTGCCTGCTCTGTTCCCCATTCTGTCTCTGGTGAATCCTTTCACCCCCCACAACTCTGGCCTGTACTCCAGCTCTTGTATGCATAAATAAATAAATCTTTAAAAAAATAAATAAAGATAAGGTTGAGAGAGACCCATGGATTTTCTGAATTCTCAAAGGTGCACCAGGCACTTCTCCAGAGTCCCATTGCTCTATATGTGAACCAGCCAGTGCCAAGTGGACTATTAAAATAGGGGTATGAAAGAATATGGTACAAATTTAATAAAGTTTGAAATCTGATATCAAAAAGAACTATTGGTATTAAGGTAGTCACCACAGGGAAGCATCCATCCATTAGACTTCCTACCACACATCTTTAGATATTGTATGTGTTTTTAAAGTTAATTCTGTGGGGGGTGCGTGGCACTCCAGGCTCTTGCCATTGGTGAAGTCCTCTAAGGGTATCTAAAACCCTCTAAGGGTCTAATGCTGGTCTACAACCAGGATTCAACCCGGATCTGACTCCAAAGCCTGTGCTTATAACAAAGACTACTGAGACTTAACCTAGAAAGCCACTTAGCAAATTAAATCAATAGACTTGAAAACATATTTCTTAACCTATTAAATTAAATATTGTGAAAAATATATAAAAGCTGGAAGAATAAAGGCGGTCAAGGCAGAATTTGTTTATACCAGTAAAAAAGTAATTAGAAATTAATAAATACAAATGTTTAACCATAGGGGCCTTGTTAATCAAATTATGTAATGCACAATTTAAAATAATGTTTATGAGGACTTTATAATGAAGTGGGAAACTGATTTAATTATACCATGTCAAATGGGAAAAAGCAACATAAAATATTTATAAAAAGGTGTCAGAACTGTGAAAAAGGAAAGTTTAAATGTGTAGGGGAAAGAGAAACGAAGCACCCTTAACAATGTTAACAGAGATTGGATCTTGGTGTGATGGGTGATTTACTTCAATTTTATATATATATATTATTTATATATATAGATTTATTTATTTATGTATATAAGAGCTGGGGTGCAGGCCAGAGGTGGGGAGGGGGTGAGAGGATTCACCAGAGACAGAGTAGGGAGCAGAACAGGCGGATCCACTGAAATACACTGCTGTGGGGAGCAGCGGGCAAGCCAGGAGAGGTCTGCTGCACCATGTGGGTCACCTCCTTGGGCAGGGATGGAATTCATGCTACAGTTGTTACAGGGCGGTCCTCAGGAAAGGGGGAGGTTCCAGGTTTCCTGTCCCATCCAAAAGAAGGGTGGAGCTGAGAGAGAGAAGAAGATGCAGAGGAGACTGAGGAAGGAAGGAAGCGGTATGGACAGCCAGAAGGAGACCTGGAGGAGGCATATGGAGCCTAGAGACCCTTGAAGAAACTATACTTTTCTTTTGGTTGTGGACTGGGTGACACAGATGTGGGTGAGAGAACCGTGGGGAGGTGATGATGGTGGTTTTTGTCTTGCTGTTGATTTTGCTCTTTTCCTCTGAGACTTGTCTGGTTGTTTCTGATCCTTTTCTGTGGGTCCCCACTGGAAGATGCCTTAGACTTGTGGCAGGCTTTGGGGCCTTATTCTGGGCCAATCCTGCTTGGGTGGACTTTTACCCACAAGGGGACGGGTAACTTTGGGTGCTTGATTTAGAAACTAGATTCTTTGCCTTTCCTGTATTGTTTCCTAATTGCATTAAAGTTCCTTCCCATTAAAGTCTCATATGTTTTGTGTTGATGCAGCGGATGGCAGAACCTATTTATAGCAGGCAAGTTTGCGGGGTCTGGGGTGCCCCTCTCCCTGCCCTGTAACAGTATGCTGCAGTGCTGCGGAAAGCTTCATAGTGCTGAGGCTTAACCCCTTGTGTCACCAGGGAGGCCCCTCCCATTTTTTACATTTTTGTGATGAGAATTTTTTCCTAGTGAATATTACTTTTAGAGTAGAAATCATTCTAAAAATTTTTGTTTTTAAAAAGGCATAAAGACCTTCATAAAGGTCATTATTTAGGCAGTAAACATTACTGAAGAATGGGGAGGCTTCCACATCCTGATATTGTCATTGTGATTCCTTGGTGCTTAAAGCAAAGGAAATGCTGTGGCAATCCTTTGCTCACAATTTCCAGTATAACCTGATCTCAGACACTTTGCCCCACTCTAGGCTCATGTGATTCAATATTTGGGTCAGAACGCTTGGTCATGGTAGACTTATTCAAAACATCCTTATGAAGCATCTGAATAGGTACTTGTGCTTCTGGATCACTAATCACAATAATATAGAGGGTGGGGTGGAGAGGGGACATAAAATTCAAAAGAAAATACTATAATGAAGCAAATCTACAAAACTCATTATTACAATTTATTAAAGCTCATTCCCTCTTTTTGAAAACTCTTTCCTCTTGGCGTCTATTTATCACCCACTAGCCTCCTCTGGTATTTCTCCCATTATTCTGGTTGTTCCTTCTGTCTTCTTTGTGGCTCCTTGCTCTGCATTTTTCCAAATTATGAACTTCATCTTGTTATCATACCACACCCACCCATCAAGGCATCCATTGTCTTCTACCACAGCCCATGCTAACATTTAAAAAAAAATTTTTTTTAAGATTCATTTATTTATGCATACAAGAACTGGGGTACAGGCCAGAAGTGCAGGGGGTGAGAGGATTCACCTGAGACAGAGTGGGGAGAAGAACAGGCAGATTGACTGAAACACACTGCTGACGGGAGCAGCGGGTGAGACAGGAGTGGCTGCTGCGCCATGTGTGGGTCACCTCCGGGGCCAGGGATCCAACAGTGGTTGCCCATAGCTTGATAACACTGAGACTTTGACACCTGCACCACCAGGGAGGCCCCTATTCTAACATTTTAAATGTTCTTTCTTAGATTGAATACTTCCTCCACCCTCTAATCCCATATAGTAACCTCCTCAGGCAATGACATGACTTAAATTTATAAAAACCATTACTTTAACTAGACAATTGGCTTTCTGTGACACTAAGTGAAAAAGATGGTGACACCACCAAGACCATAAGTATCCCATTGTTATTTGTTTCCTCTTTCACAGCAAGTTACAGAGTTTGATGATGACTATTATTATTCTTCATTAGTATCAGCTACTGGTTTAGCCTTTAGACCAATTCTTTTTTTTTTTTTTTGCTCCAAGGTTCAAACAAAGGGAAGCAGACATTATTCTGTGTTCATTAAAAATAGACTTGCATTACATTCCTCCATGAATTTCATACATAGTGCTATGTGAAAGCCCCTCACAAACAATAAATGCATGAATCAGTGCCATCCTCCCAGGCACAGAGGTGTCATAGAGCAAAGGGGCCTGACTGGAGCTGTGAACACATCTGTCCCCATTGCAGCAGCGCCATCTGCAGTGTGCAGCTGGATCCCCTCCAAGGACTCACGGACTTGCTGCCTTCCTTAGAACTTTTATGGGTCTGCTGTTTGAAAGTACATTCATTCCACATGCAAAGGCTGGCTACATATGCACACCAACAGCCCATGTGCATGCAAAAATGTGCAGATGGGTAATGGAAAATGAAGCCAAGGGTTTGGTGCTGAGACAAATTATTAACCCCGGAATTCCTACAAGCCACAATGGAAAAACAGCCTCTTCGGACTGGTAACTGGAATTATTTTAGATTTCAGAAACTGTTACTTAATGAAAATGTAAGAAAAACATCTTTTAGAACTTTAGTGTCTTGCTTTGTTTTTGGCTTTGTTCTCTTTGAAAACAAACATCTGAATTTCAACCAATAACCCCATCACCAAATTTGAGCTTTTCTCTAAGACTCCTACCACATGTGAACTACTGACCTTAGCTGATATGATGCAAGATACTGATGAAAAGCCTTCTTTAAATGAGTTAACAGCTGCATGATTCTTTCTAGGAAGCAGAAGTGGGTAGAATTTGAGGTATTAGATAACACATTTCCAAATATTTAATATGCCCATAGTATTTATAAATATATAAGAGGTCTTACAGCAGGTATACCAAACCTTTCTTTTAAGATTATTTATTTCAGACTAGTGTATAGAATTAAAATACATAGACTTTCAGAATATATTTAGGTCTAAGGGCTATCATAATTAGTTATCTTTTCTTATTTTTCCTTATGTCTTTTTTTAAAAAGTCAAATATAATTGACATATGCCATTGTGTTCATTTTAGGTGTATAATATAATGATAGCTATATTTAGATATTGCAAAATGATTAGTTAACATTCATTACCACGCAGTTACAAGTTTTTCTTTCTCTTTTATTTATTATTATTATTTTTTTATAGAGTCATTTTTATTTATTTATTTGTTTGTTTGTTTGTTTTGTTTATACAAGCACTGGGTATAGTCAGAAGCACCGGAGGGTGAGAGAATTCACCAGAGCCAGAGCGGGGAGCAGAGCAGGTAGAAGGACCGAAGTACACTGCTGAGGGGAGCAGCGGGCGGCAGGAGAGGTCTGCGTGCCATGTGGGACCCTCCTCTGGTGGCCGGGGAGCAGCTGGGGATCGAACTGGCGCCGCAGAGGCCGCGGGCAACTTCGCAACCCAGCGCTCAACCGCTGCGCCACCGGGGAGGCCCAAGGTTTTCTTTCTCTTGATGAGAACTTTTAAGGTCTACTTTCTTAGCAACTTCTACTACACATTACATTATTTTTAGCTGTTAGAATCAGCTCTTCTTCGTGCAAGGGGTTAGCAGCACCGTGAAGCAATCCACAGCCTCTGCAGCACGAGTTCGATCCCAGGCCGGCCAGGGAGCAACCCACATGGCACAGCAGACCTCTCCTGTCTCGCCTAATGCTCCCCTCAGCAGTGTATTTCAGTCAGTCTGCCTGTTCTGTTCCCCACTCTGTCTCTGGTGAATCCTCTCACCCCCTGCACCTCTTGCCTGTACCCCAGTTCTTGTATACATAAATATTCAAAGAAAAAAAAAAAAGAATCAGCACTTCTAAATGAAGTTACATGCAGTTTTTGCAGTACTCTCCCAAATAGAATTCACTTGGAATCCTCTCCATGGATATACTTATTTGTGAGTATATAGAGAACCCACCTATTTTACTCTCTTCTTCAGCTTATCCCCTCAAACAAACAGTCACAACTCAACTAAAAAAATTTTGAGAATATTGAGAACCTTATATGTATACACCTATGCATTTTTCTGAGATACTGGTGGGTGATAGCTGTGGCTCTGAGCCCCTTGAATCTCACTCACCGTCCACAGGGGAAACATCCCTATAGGCTCTGATGAGTGCTGTGCGGGGGCCAGGATAGCATGCCTTGAATTCACATGGCAGGCAGCCAAACCAAGTGTAGGGATTAGAGAAGGGCTGCTCAAGAATAATATTTAAGGGCCTCCCCGGTGGCGCAGCGGTTGAGCGCTGGGTTGCGAAGCTGCCCGCGGCCTCTGCGGCGCCGGTTCGATCCCCGGCTGCTCCCCGGCCACCGGAGGAGGGTCCCACATGGCGCGCAGACCTCTCCTGCCGCCCGCTGCTCCCCTCAGCAGTGTCCTTCGGTCCTTCTGCCTGCTCTGCTCCCCGCTCTGGCTCTGGTGAATTCTCTCACCCTCCCGCGCTTCTGACGGTACCCAGTGCCTGTATAAATAAATAAATAAATCTTAAAAAAAAAATTAAAAAAAAAAAAAAAAGATAATATTTAAGAGGATTATATGACTAAACTTACTTCAGGGACAGGACAAACTGGACTTGATCGACAGGACGAGAGGTTTCCAAGAATAGGTCAAGGATAATGCTAAGTTACTTGGGCATTACCAGATATGAATTAAAATAGGAAACAATAAAGAAAGAGAATGTTTGGGAGTGTGGGGTGAGGACAAGTGTTCAGTTTCACAATTGAATTTGAGGGTTCTCCTGAGAGATCAGAGTGGAGTCTCAGGATACAGAGTGTGAAGAAAATTGTGTAGGATCTGGGAGAGTCATTAGCATTTTGGACAGCAATAAAGGCCAAGAAAGTGAATGAGACTGCCCAACAGGAATGGGCAGAGGGGCCTCCTGGTGGCAGCTCCCGGGTTGAGCACAGTGCTGTGAACTCGTCCGCAGCCTCTGCAGCACGGATTCGATTCCCGACTGGCCAGGGAGATACCCACATGCAACAACAAACCTTGTTCTTGTCCACTGCTCCCCTCAGCAGTGTCTTAGGTCCGTCTGCCTGTTCTGCTCCCCGCTCTGTCACTGGCATGGAAGTGGACAACATAGGAGCCAGATTACACTGGTAGACATTTGAGTGAGGGTTCAGAGGAAAGAGGCAGAAGTTTGGCAATGAATGGGGATAGACAGGGGTAGCTGAAGGGGTTAATATTTAGGGATTAATGTTAGACTGATGTTTCTTAATCCTGACTATACATTGGAATCATCTGGGGAGACTTAGAAAAAATTTCTGACATATGGATCCCACCCTGGCAATTCTGACTTAATTGTTATGAGGTACAACCTGGGCAACCATACACTTCTAAAAAGCTCCCCTGGTGATACTGATGAGCAACTAGTAGTGAGAACAACGGGGAGACAAGAAATAAGTTCTTTCAAAGATAGGAGTGAGTTAAGTGTAAATGTTGAAGAACTGAGCCACAAGAAGGAGCAGCTGAAGATAAACAGAGGCAGAGGTGATGGTAATGACATCAGAATTCCTGGAAGGGAGGTAATCAGTGAGACAGAAGGTGAGACTTAGAAATGAGGAGGAGTACTTCTCTTATTTGGCAGGAGAAAGGGATACACAGAGGAGTGAATCAGGGCTGAAGTTCTGCCGGCAGGAGGTTGAGGAGGCCTCAGGAGGCCTGGGATCTCCGGGAACCAGTGGGGGAAGGGGTGAGATTAGCCTCTGAAGGAGAATGGAGAGGCAACGTTGCAAGCCTGGGTTAGGTTAGGGGTCCCGAGCTGTGTCAGCTGTATGACACTGATGGTTCTCAGCAGAACATTAAGAACGTGAAAACAGAGCTTCTCCCTGAGCATGAGGGTTACATTCTTGATATCATGTTGGTAGGGGATTAAAAGTTGGAAAGTTAAGACTCTGGGAAGCAGTTGGTGATGACTGGGGAGGGGAGGGAGGTATGTGGCTGCAAATTCACCAGTGAAATTCCTTGTAAATAGCTACATCTTCTGAATCCAAAACAAATGAACCAGCAAAAACTTACATCAATAATTATGAGACTATGGGGCCTCCCTGGTGGCACAAGGGGTTAAGACACAGCACCATGAAGCTATCCACAGCCTCTGTGGCATGATTTGGATTCCCCACCAGGGAGGTGACCCACATGGCACAGCAGACCTCTCCTGTCTCGCCCGCTGCTCCCTTCAGCAGTGTATTTCAGTCAGTCTGCCTGTTCTGTTCCCCACTGTCACTGATGAATCCTCTCACACCTCTGGCCTATACCCCAGTTCTTGTATGCATAAATAATAAATCTTTAAAGATTTATTTGACTATCGACATTCTACATGTTTCAAGTAAGTAAAATGTAAAAATCTCTATATTTTTTACTGTTTGTGTCCTGAAAAATGCTAAAGTATCTCCCTCCCCTGTAGTGTAAACCTCTCCTGCAGGCTGACTACCCACTTGCCACACTTGGTTTAGTCCAGAACTCACTGCCTTAATGCTTTTATAATCAAGGGACTCAGTGTCTATGTAGACACAATCTGAACATTTTGAAGTTATGAAGTAAGTGTGTATAAAGTGAATCCATGAATACTGGAGTTTTCTGTGAGACCACCTCAGCTTAGTATGGAGGATGAACAATTATCTCTTTCTGCAGGAGCTCAGAGATTTTCCAGGATATAGAACCTGAAGATCTGAAACTTAAGAGTCTTGGGCAAAAGAAGGTTGGCCACTTATCTGCTCTGTCCCCTACAACAACCCGTAGCTCCATATTGGTGACGTGGCCTGAGAGATCAGCAGAGAAGGGGACCTGTGTTCCAGGTTCCAGACAGGAAGCCACAGGTGGAAGGAGACGCCAAGATCACAAACTCTTCCATTACCTTCCTTCTGCTCCATCTAGTTTCTAGTACAGCATTGTGGGGGACCCCCTCGCAGTTACCTCCTAAAATCCCTGTCCTTCTTTGCCACCACTGTCCTTTTTGATGAGACTGCTCTGGCAAATCTTGGCTCAAAGACATTTTTTTTTTTGCTGGTTTTGTAAGCTTCTGCCTTTCCCAAACCACATTTCTTTCTTCTCTCATCCTCAGATAAGCTGAACTAAGTCAAGCACATACCTTAATTATAGGCCAAAGCTCTTCTTGATTAAAGAATTTTAAACATCTCAATACAAAGAAGGTGCTTTGCTCTTTTTCTAAGAGCTGCCTGACCTCTTGTGCCCTTTGACAATAGCAGCTCGGTCTTTATCAGGAAGAAACTGCTTTTTCATTCCACGATGTGCTTTGCTTAGGGCCAATTTTTAATGATCAACAGATGAAAAGCCACATTCCTGAGGGAGAATAAAAGGAGTTTGTACAATAGACTGAAGGAATAGGAATTTTATCTGCATTAAATCTTCAACCCATGTTTGTTGACTGGATGAATGAAGGCAAAGCACATTTAACAATTGAAAAGTTTCACCTTACTACCACAGTCATTTTTTTCTGCCTTAATTAGCATGTGCATTTGCAACCATAGGTGTGAAACTCTGCATCAGGTGATGGTGTACATAAAGAAAAATAGTAAGTGATGACTGATGAGTGGAAGGTGGTAAGGTAAGGAAAGAAAATAACAACAAAGGTCAAAGGAACTTATTCCAGAATACCTTTTCTGATGCCAACAGGTGAGTCAGTCCAATTATAAATTAGAAAGGTATTAAATATGTATATTTGGGTTGACATCTGAGAGGGGAAAAAGGAGAAGTGAATAAATTCTATGGATCCTGTGTGAAACTCCTTTTTCTAAGGAGATTTTTATTTCAGTTACTTTTAAAGGTGTTTTCCAGGTCTCATGTGATCCAGTCTCTATTCCAAGTCACCTTCAAAAGAAAAGAAAGGCCTCCCCTGGTGGTGCAGGTGGTTGAGCGCAGCGCTGTGAAGCTGTCCGCAGCCTCTACAGCACCGGTTCAATCCTAGCCGGCTGGCGAGGGTCCCACATGGCGTGGCAGACCTCTCCTGCCGCGCCCGCTGCTCCCCTCAGCAGTGTATTTCAATCAGTCTGCCTGTTCTGTTCCCCACTCTGTCTCTGGTGAATCTTCTTACCTTCCTGCACATCTGGCCTGTACCCTGGTTCTTGTATAAATAAATACAAGAGGGGAGGGGCGGGGAGGGGAGAGGAGAGGAGGGGAAAAAAGTCTGTCTTTGGAAGTCTTGAAGACAGATGCACTTCTTACCCAGGACCCAGGATAAAGCAGTCTAGAAATCTAACTTGGTCTTTGTTCTGTACAGCTCTGTGTTCACAGTGCCTCCTAAGATCTTTCCTAGCACTCTGGTCCATACCCTTGGCCTTCTCCGTTCCCATCCTCCTTTCTTAGCTGTGGTGACAGTCAGGACTCTGCCCCTAGTTACCTGCTCTGGCCAGGCTGCACTGGATGCTGGAGAATTCTCTATTCATCCCCCGTCCCATTTCTCCTTGCTTCCCATAAAGCAGAGCAGCTGGTAGAGTGCTATAGGAAGAGCTGTTCCTGCCCTCTGATTGTTGTGTGAAAAGACTGTGGAACATTTCTGGTCAGCAAATTCTCCACTTCCTTCTACATGTGTCCCTGGGTGCGGATAATTGTGTCTGGAGGTATCCTCGATAGCTGGGGACAGAGGGACTCAACACAGTAGATGTACAGTGGGTGTACTCCTCTTTTCCTAGGGGTCAGTCCTCTAGGGGCATCTGTGGTAACTGAAGTGTGAAACCCTCTGAAGTGTCTTTGTCTGGCTTCTACCAATTAACGCTCCCTCCCTCCAATTTTGAAAAGGCCAATAATAGGTTTCAAGCAAGGAACATTTATTGTGGGTCACACAATGGGAAAGGGGCAGCAACTTCCCTGAGTCATACTGTTGACCAGAGGGGAGTGGGGTTACTGGTTTTATGGGGAGTATGGGGGAGCAGCATCATGGTGTGTTTTAGGCTGAGCTACACCAGGATACATGCTTCTTCACATGCCACATGTCTCACTAGCATCTTAAGTCTCTAGCTAGGGGTGTGTGTTTTAGCTTGCTAGTGTGTCCTATTTTCCTTCTAGGTCAGGTCTTCTCCCATCTGCATTTGTGAGGCCATTTGGGTTCAGCTGGTTCTGGAACCATTGCCTAAAAGCAGGAAGCCTCTGCAGGGTGGAGAGTCTGTTTCTCACTGGTGACTGACTGACTTTCCAATAGCCTGGGGGCTCAATAACTGGTGGGTTAGGCATTCAAGGTCTAGGTCCAAGTGGTCCCATAACAAAATTCCAAATATGGGCCTCCCTGGTGGCACAGGGGGTTAGGCACAGCACTATGAGGCTGTCTGCAGCCACTGCAGCACGAGTTCGATCCCCGGCCAGCCAGGGAGCATCCCACATGGCACAGCAGACCTCTCCTGCCTCGCCCGCTGCTCTCCTCAGCAGTGTATTTCAGTCAGTCTGCCTGTTCTGTTCCCCACTCTGTCTCTAGTGGATCCTCTCACCCTCCCGCACCTCTGGCCTCTACCCCAGTTCTTGCATGCATGCATGCATAAATCTTTTTTAAAAAACCCAAATTCATCTATGTTAACATTTGATCTTGTTAAATGTCAACCTAAGCAAGTCTTTTCCTTTCCCTTTGAAAGCACTGTTACAGCCTTCATGTTCAAGTTAGTTCTCCTTGGCTTCCCACCGTTCCCCATTCTGATTGTTTTAGCCTTATGAATGTTATCCTTTCCCCTTACCTTAAACCTCAGTAGAGTTGTTCCTGGTTCGTATTTGCGATTGTACATATCGGTGTGTTTAATCACTTTGGCCCAGTATCTCCACTTCTAGAACTTTATGCCAAAGAAACTATCAAAGATAAAAATATTTACACTGAATATAGGAGAACTTATAATATCAAAAATGGATACAAACTAATCGCACCCCAATCAAATGAAAAAAATTTTTTTTTTTTTATCTCCCCCCGGAGAGACATTGTCTTATTCCTTTTCAGCAATCATTCCTAGCAAGCACAAGCATACCTGAAAGAACCTAAAATACAGAAAGTTTTTATTTTTTTTTTAAGATTTATTTTATTTTATTTTTTTAAAATAATTTTTATTTTTATATTCCCCATACAATTGCAGCCCCCCCATTCTGACCCCAATCCCTCCCCTCCCGCCCCCGCCCCCCTAAAAGTGTCTCTGGTTCGTAGTTTTTTGTTGATTTTGATTTTCACTTTCTTATAGTTATTCATTTTCCTGGTCCCTTATTTAAGTTTTCTAGATTCCTGCTATGAGTGAGACCATCCGGTATTTTTCTTTTTCTTTTTGGCTTATTTCGCTGAGCATGATCCCTTCCAGTGCCATCCATGTTGCTGCAAATTGCATGTGTTTATCTTTTTTGAATGCTGAGTAATATTCCATGGTATATATGTACCACATCTTCTTGATCCAGTCATCTATTTTTGGGCATTTGGGTTGTTTCCAAAGCTTAGCTATTGTAAACAGTGCTGCTATAAACATAGGGGTGCAGGTGTTCTTTGGAATTGATGTTTCTGTGTCCTTTGGGTAAATACCTAGGAGTGGAATTGCTGGATCATATGGAAGCTCTATGTTTAGTAGGTCCAGAAATCTCCACACAGCTCTCCACAGTGGTTGGACCAGTTTGCACTCCCACCAACAGTGCAGAAGAGTTCCTTTTTCTCACACCTTCGCCAACATTTGTTGTTGCTAGTTTTTTTAATATGTGCATTCTCACTGGTGTGAGATGGTATCTCATGGTAGTTTTGATTTGCATTTCCCTGATGACAAGTGATGTTGAACATTTTTTCATATGCCTGTTGGCCATTTGCATTTCCTCTTCAGAGAAGTTTCTTTTTAGCTCTTCTGCCCACTTTTTGACTGGATTATTTTCTTTGTTGTTGTTGAGTCTCATCAGCTCTTTGCAGATTTTTGTGATCAGTCCTTTCTCATTAGTGTTGGGTGCAAAAATGTTCTCCCAGTTGGTGGGGTTTCTCTTTGTTTTTGTTATTGTCTCTTTTGCTGTGCAGAAGCTCTTTAATTTGATGTAGTCCCAGCTGTTTATCTTTGCCTTCACTATCACTGCTTTGGGTGATGTGTCTGTAAAGATGTCTTTGATGTGCAAATCACGTAGTGTTTCGCCTGTATTTCCTTCTATATATTTTATGGTTTCAGGTCTTATGTCTAGTTCTTTAATCCATTTTGAGTTGATTTTTGTGTATGGTGTGAGGTAGTGGTCAAGCTTCATTCTTTTGCATGTAGCGACCCAGTTTTCCCAGCACCATTTATTGAACAAACTTTCTTTGCTCCAATGCATAGTCTTTGCTCCTTTGTCAAAGATTAGTTGACCATAAATCTGTGGGTTTATTTCTGGATTTTCTATTCGATTCCATTGCTCTGTATGTCTGTTCTTGTTCCAATACCATGCAGTTTTGATGATTATGGCTTTGTAGTAGAGTTTGAAGTCTGGGAGTGTGATGCCTCCATTCCCTTCTTTTTTTTTCAGGAGAGCTTTGGCTATTCGGGGCTTTTTGTGATTCCATATGAATTTCATCAATAATTGTTCTATTTCTTTGAAGAATGACATTGAAATTTTGATTGGAATAGCATTGAATCTGTATATTGCTTTTGGTAGGATGGCCATTTTAATAATGTTTATTCTTCCAATCCATGAGCAGGGGATGTCTTTCCATTTCTTTGTGTCTTCTTCTATTTCTTTTAACAGTGTTTTATAGTTTCAAATGAAAAATTTTTGATAAGTTATGTGATGAAATATTATCTTTCAGAATTTTTTTTTTTAAGATTTTATTTATTTATTTATACAAGCACTCGGGTACAGTCAGAAGTGCGGGAGGGTGAGAGAATTCACCAGAGCCAGAGCGGGGAGCAGAGCAGGCAGAAGGACCAAAGTACACTGCTGAGGGGAGCAGCGGGCGGCAGGAGAGGTCTGCGCGCCATGTGGGACCCTCCTCTGGTGGCCGGGGAGCAGCCGGGGATCGAACCGGCGCTGCAGAGGCTGCGCGCAGCTTCACAACCCAGTGCTCAACCGCTGTGCCACTGGGGAGGCCCTATCTTTCAAAATTTTGACACCAAAGAATATTTAATAATATAAAATACTTCTAATTCAGGTTTAACTAAAAATCATAGATGAAAATTCTATTTGAGGGCCTCCCCGGTGGCGCAGTGGTTGAGCACTAGGTTGTGAAGCTGCCTGCAGCCTCTTCAGCGCAGGTTCAATCCCCAGCTGCCTGGTGAGGGTCCCACCTCACCTGCTGCCCGCTGCTCCCCTCAGCAGTGTTCTTTGTCAGTCTGCCTGCTCTGCTCTCTGCTCTGAATCTGGTGAATTCTCTCACCCTTCCGTGCTTCTGACCGTACCCCAGTGCTTGTATAAATAAATAATCTTTAAAAAAAAAAAAGAATTATCAAAAAACAAACAAAATTCTACTTGAAAACTAATATCAATTTGGTGTTATGTAAATCTAAGTATGTGTGTGCACATGTGAATAACGCATGTACAATTTGATTGTTCCTGGGTAGTAGACATTTAGTTATTTATCTTTCTGTATCTTATTCTTTATTATTCAATCATAACTGAATAAATATCATACAGTAAATGAAAAAAAGTAGTTTTTAACAGAGTGATGAAAAGGAAGCTAGAGCCATCTAGATGATTAAAAGTATGGAAATGGTTAAATAAAGGAAGGTGCATTCTGGGCCTCCCCGTGGGCAGCGGTTGAGCGCTGGGTTCGAAGCTGCCCGCGCGGCCTCTGCGGCGCCGGTTCGATCCCCGGCTGCTCCCGGCCACTTGAGGAGGGTCCCACATGGCGCGCAGACCTCTCCTGCCGCCGCTGCTCCCTCAGCAGTGTACTTCGGTCCTTCTGCCTGCTCTGCTCCCCACTCTGGCTCTGGTGAATTCTCTCACCCTCCCGCGCTTCTGACTGTACCCAGTGCATGTATAAACAAAAAAAAAAAAAAAAAAGGAAGGTGCATTCATAAGTTCCATCCCCAGGGAGGCTACACTGCCTGCTCCTGGCTTATGAGTGTGTAGGAGCACACCTGGTGTCTGAGGCCTGTGATCCCTCCCAACCTGCTCCTCTCTGCTCTCTTGATCCCACCATCCCAAACAGTTCAGTGGCTGGCCTTCCTGCTTCTACTACATGTGGTCCCCAGACAGCCCCCTGCCGTTCACCTACCCTGTCTCCTAACCACAGTGACCGATACAGCATAGGCAACCAGAATCCCTGCTGGTAGTTTTCTTCAGGATCCATTTGGGAAATCACCATCTCCTCCACTACAATCAGGAGCTATAAAGATAATACAAGCCACACAGTCATGTGAGGCACTTTCTTTCCAGAAAACCACCTTGTCTGTATTGAAGAGAAAGGTGCCAACACAGATCAACAGAGAGATGACAAGAGTCCTGAAGACATTGGGCCTCTGATTCAGACTACTGGGACTTATTTTCCTCAGTTTATAAATTTCTCTCCCTTCTTTCCTCTTTCCAATCTTTCTATCATCTCCTTTTTAAGCTTTTTTTTTTTTCCTGCTGATTTTTTTTTCTCTAAGTTTGTGTGAGAAGAGTTCTGTTAGTTGTAACTGAAGGTGCTCTGACACAAGCCGCTATATTCCTTTGGCTTTTGGAGACACCCACTTGGCTTTTGGTTGCCAAGCAAGTGTGAACTCTATTTTTGGAAAACGTCTAGATACAGGGGTTATGGCCTTTTACAGAACTTTCCTTCTCTTTTTGGATGTGTTTTGCCCTTATTAGTCATACATTTCTTTCCTGCCTACCAGTAAGAGAGTGAAATCAGACATATATCATCTAATACTGTTTTGAAAGCATTGTTAATGACATGGGAAAATACTTGTAATATATGACCTAATTATTTCAAGTATGTAATAGTCATGGAAAGGAAATATATCAAAATATTAACAGTGGTTATATCTGAGCGATAAGATTATGAGTGATTTATGTATTACACTTTAAAATTTTATAAATGGACAATTATTTTGTGATTAGAAAATGAGTTATTAAAATACACAAATTTTAGTACATTCAACCAAAGGTCAGTTCTATAGTCATTAGAAAGAATGTTTTGAAGACAATTCAGTGACCTTAAAAAATGCTTAGAACAATTAGAAAGGCAGATAAAATTACACACAACATGGATCTCAAGCATGTTAATTATAGATGTTCAAATATCTATAATACTGTGTAGGAAAGAATGCATAGGAAATGACAAAAAAATTGCTTCAAAATATTAATGGAACTTATCTTTGAGTTGTGAGATCAAGGTCAATTTTTGTTTTCTTCTTTAAATGTGTTCATGATTTCCAATTTTCAGAATCAGATTTCTATTATAATTACAGTAAAGCAGTAAATTTTTTACTCTGGGAGAGAAGTTTTGAGAAGTAAACTTTTTCTTTTTTAAAGAGGCATTTTTTTTTTTTAAAGATTTGTTTATTTATTTATTTATACAAGCACTGGGTACAGTCAGAAGCGCGGGAGGGTGAGAGAATTCACCAGAGCCAGAGCGGGGAGCAGAGCAGGCAGAAGGACCGAAGTACACTGCTGAGGGGAGCAGCGGGCGGCAGGAGAGGTCTGCGCGCCATGTGGGACCCTCCTCCGGTGGCCGGGGAGCAGCCAGGGATCGAACCGGCGCTGCAGAGGCTGCGGGTAGCTTTGCAAGCCAGCGCTCAACCGCTGTGTAAAGAGGCATGTATTATTTATTTATTTGTTTGTTTATACATGCACTGGGTACAGTCAGAAGCACGGGAGGGTGAGAGAATTCACCAGAGCCAGAGCGGGGAGCAGAGCAGGCAGAAGGACCGAAGTACTCTGCTGAG